CATTGCCAAAGCCCCGTCCCCATCCAACGCCATCCCATCTATATTCAGCACCGCATTTTATTTCTTATATTTTAAAACTTCAAAAGTAATATACAAGCTCGTAATTTGGGTGGACCTACGACACCTGATGCCCCACTTTCCTGGAAACTTCTTATCATGTGCCTTTCTTCCCCCTCAATTCTCTTTTTCTTTAGCCCCACCACCACGCCCTTCTCCCTCATCCCAATCCCAAACTCTCTTCTCATCGCTTACTTCATCCCATGTTGACATATAAAAGTGGAAACTTCTGGCCAACTCAGCAGCCATTGGACCTTTCGCCCGGGGCGTTCTTTCGCTCCCCCGTGGGAAAAGAGCCAATCTTTGTGGGGAAGAGCAGATAAGAGGAGGAAGCTAGGGAGGCGGAAAAGTCAGATAAAGAAAACAACAAAAACGCACGGTTGACGCGTAGCGCAGAACCAAAAGTTGCTTTGTGAAAAGTCTTTTTGGATGTTTTGGTCGCAGCTTTGTATTGATTCTATGTAGATTTGCAGCGGTTGTTGTGCACACACGTAGCTTACCCCACACTAAAAAGTATAAACCCCACCACACAGGTCATCCCCCTCGCTTCCCCTCTGTCGGCTTCCTCTACTGTACTTCCCACAGCCTTACAAGTGGTTAGTCCTGCACACTCAGAACTCATCACAGCATATCATGTGGCTCGCTGCGTCCGTTCCATGCACTGTTCTCAACACTAATTCTCCTTACGTGGGTCCAATACATTGTGTAGCATCTACGATCCATGAAGCCCCACATGCTCAAATTCTTTCATCCATCCTATTTTGGTTTTCAAACTTTCGAACAGTACTCACAATCACACATCCATTTAATTTCTGCTGTTTTGTTTTCTCTCGCCATTATCCGGAAAAATATAAGCCCTCATGGACCGGATATGGTGCGACGATTGCTCCTCGGTCATATCCTGCCGACCTAAGCGTGTATGAGTCCAACGGGGTAGACCCCATGCATCCCATTCAGTGTTTACGTTCGGCTTCTATTAGATTGGGCCCGAGTTTGGGCCTCCAATGCTCCCAACCACCACGTCCTCCTCAACATTATATATCTCCATCTCCGGCCCACATGCCGGGGTTCGTCTTATAGATGTCAAGTTATGACGCGTCGCTAAAAATAGTAAAATAAATCCCGTGTTTGGAGGCTTTCGCTTCCACATCCAATTGGCTGCCACGTCTAGTGGATTTCTTTTTATTCGGTCGCTGAGTTATACTGCAAGGTTTTCGCCACCACTTCTTGGCTCTTCACAAGTCAGTTCAAATTTCAGTCTTGTACGCTGTCCCCGATTCAGACTGATCTTTAAATGTAGAGATAGTTTGATTTCGTCTGAAGCTAAGCCGAGCATGAGTCCTTAGGCCCTGCAACTCATGGGTTCCAGAGATTGATCGAGTAAGAGGCGTATAAGTGGAGCTTATATTGGGCATTCGACTCCATCAGGACAACGACATGAGAGTTTGCTACGTGGTGTTAGTTCTATTGATGTTTTGCTACGCGGGGTCGGCTGGTACTGCCACTGGATTCTTCAATCTCACCGCCAATGTTACTGCGGCTAATGTCTCCGCCGAAAACTATCATTTGGAAGACAAGAGAGGCGTGCCCACGGGAGCTAATCCTCTGCACAATAGGTAGGGAAATCGAGAAATTTGATCTCCAGCTTTAAACTTCAAAGGGAACCTGCAATTATACTCGTGCTCTTTCTTTGAGTATTTGAGTGTTACGGTTCTATTGTAGCATATATATATATATATATATATATATGAAACAGCAAGGGGGATGCACCTAGCATGTCCAATAAAGATTAATTCTTTAGGCGCCTGTTCACATGCCTGTCTGTTCGCGAGTTAGCTTAAGTCTCTGTTCAACGACCCTGAATGGGATGTCTCTGTCTCGCATGCCCATCGCCTTATTAAAGCTAGTTTTTCTATATTACTCCTCCGGTCCTAATTATAAGACCCAATTGACTTATTTGAGGAGATTAAGGAAGTAAGTTAAGTTGGTTATTTATAATAAATAAGTGTTGTTATTCCTAAAATATCCTTGCCAATTAAGTATATTGGCTAAAACTATCATTATTAGAAGGATTATCTTGGAAAAAAATGATAAATATAAAAGAGAAAATGGATTGGGTCTTATAATTAGGACCAAATAAAAAGTCAAATTGGGTCTTATAATAAGGATCGGAGGAGTACATGCTTTTCTTAATTCTTCATTAGCTGATAACTCTGTGTGTGTGTGTGTGCGCGTGTCTGTGTTTGCCACAGCATACATACTACTCTGCCTTGTCATCATTCCATTTCTTCTGGGAAATGCCAGAAAATGCGCCAACCACTTCAGTCTATGTTTATGACAGTTTCCTCTCAGTAAAGGAGCAACCACATATCAATAGTAACTCCAAACGTGCGACTCTGAAGAAATTTTAAGGAACCGTGGAGTATTTGTATGGTTGCAGAGTTGCACGGGGGCCAATTTTTTTTTTTTGGCCCCTTCCATTTCTTTTTGCTTTTTTGGCGTGTCCCATGTATCCTCCAGCCATTGGCGAAAAGTTAATTCTGTTTTTGGTATAAAATTCATGAAAGTGAGCCGTAAGTATCCTCACAAGATCTTTTTCTACACACAAAACAAGGGATTAAACCTCTAACAAACATAATTAAAAGCCCAATTATCACTCAACTATATGCAGAACCTACCGCAAATAATACAGCGATCATTTTGAGCTTCATATAGATGCATCAAATGAACTCGTGTAAATATGAACAATTGTAAGAGACTAGGAGCGCATCAAAATGCAAATAAATGGTTCACTTCGACGCACCAATAATGCTGTATTTAAAAAGTAAGTCGTATAATTGGAAGAGACACCAAAGCCTTCCCATCTTGCAAGTTATTGTGGGAGGGCGGGTGGCTTTTGTTCAAATCGCATTTAGCGTGCTATGCTAGAAATGAAGCTTTTTGTACATTTGATTGTCCCCTACCCCTAAATCATAGAGGTGGTGAATGATGAAGGGAGATGATTTCTATGCTTTTTTGGCCTTGCACATATCTCATTTTTGAGCGAAATGTGTTGTTAGACTTGCCATTTAAAAAAAAAAAAAGAAAAAAGAAAAAAAGTAAGCAGTGTGGTATGCAATAAAACTTCCAAGCTGAAAGTTAAAAGAGACAGACAGAAGATGGAAGTGTCAGATACTTGGTCTCTCTTTTTGAGTGGAACAGCGTTAGTATATATTCACATCGAAGAACAAAATGCAAACGACAAAAAGAATCTACATTCTCCCACCCTTCCATTGCAAGCTTAGGGCCGCAGCCTGCAGGCTTAATCTCTCGTCGGTTTGTTAAATAACCATATAGGCCTTTTTCATTTTTCGGGTTAAAAGACGATTGAGGCATTTATCACCTTTAATCCACTGGGCTCCCACTTTAAAGCAGAACAAAGCAGAAATTAAGCTGGCAATTTTATGGGTTTGTGTACTGAAACATTGGGTTTGGGTTGATAGGGACTGGGGAACGTGGGCAAATTGAGGTGTGTAAGTACCATTTATCTCCCCTAAGCCGAAAGGAAAAAGGCGTCGTGGACCCGGCCCCTTTGCGAACATGGGTTGTTTAGTCGTCTTGTCATCTATGGCTCTCTGTTTTGTTTTGGAACAGTGAGCGAGTACTCTTTACCAAGTCGTGGTATTTTTTTCATTGGTCACTTTCAAACAGAACTTTTAGTTTTTGATTTATTTATTTATTATTTCGAAAATTCAAAATAACATCAATTATTATTTTGTGGATTATGCTCCTTTTTAAGGGAGAGGAAGGGAGAAGAAAGGAAAGGAAACAAAATAGAAAACACGAAAAGAAAATTATTTAAACAGATATGGCACTGTCCAGGAATGACCAATAATGACCCATTGATGACTTTTCTGTCCTTCAATAATAATCTTTCTAGTCTTTATGATTTTAATTGTTATTGACAATAAATATGAACTCACGCGGATTATCTGGCATAATATTTCCAAAAAGAAAATTCACCATCATAAGTGTTATGAAAAACAAAGAAAACAAAAGGAGAAACTCATCCGAACACCTACGATTAAAACATTTTTGGGAGACTGTTTCAGTTTTGGATTTGAAGCTCCTTGAATGCAACACTATCTATCGCATCCGATATCATATTTTGTATAAAAAAATATCATTTAGATGCCAATACCTATCACCGACATATAAATATTATCACTATTGTTGACACAGCACACGCGCTCAATTGATTTTTCAAGAATTAAAAAAATTCCCACAATTTACAATTAACATTTCAGTTTTATCAATCTGTTTGTTTATTGGCAGGCATCGTCAATATACTATCTATATAATTATATGCCACGTACGTTTTACTACGCCCATGTCCCAATGGATTTTTATACGCTTCGAAGAAAGACCGTCAAGAGAGCTCAGTCATCTCCCACGTTCCTTATAATATAAATGACCATTGCCGGAGCCCTGACAAACCACACATGAAACCTGCCCCTGGGCCGGCATATGTGAATATTGAATTAGCGTGGGATCGCCTTCTTGATTCTCATGTCCACCTTTATGACTATATTTCGGGGACCATATGCGCCAGATTGATCGATGGCATACATAACACAACACTCACCCTAATGCTTATATATATAGGCTTAGCTGCACAGACCACTTCTCTTCCTTACATGGCTAGCTAGAAATTTATCGGTTTATCTTTATTATTCAGCTTTTGAAAGTTGCAATGCGACACGATAAAACTATATCCTTCAGCTTCACACAATAATAATGCCTATATAAACTTCAATTAATAATGCGCTCCGATTAGACAGGGGAACATAGAGCCAGCAGCAACAAGTGGGTTTTGACTTTGCCCCTGGTCTCTACTGCAGGGGCTACTCTCAGCTTAACGAGTACGGACACAAGACCATCAAATTATATACCTCGGGTGCCACCCATAATTGATATGTGTACGACATGTCGTGCGTAACTCAGTATCCATGGAATATTAGATGCCGGCGAGGCACTCAGGGGGGGTCAGTGGGAAGCGCGAATTATCTTTGCAGTAATCATAGATCATGTGGTTCATACGAACCCACCTGTATCTTCTAGCTTCCGCGGCATTCAGAGCTTGGTAAGCCCTGCCTTCCCACCAGTTTCTTGGGTCGGAGGTACAGTCGGAGGGTCCTGGTACCGGACATCCTTCTATGTCGAAATCCTTGTAATAAGCGTAAAATGGTGCTTTGCTCCAATCAATTTTCTCTAGCCCGCCTCTTGTTGCCCAATCATCCGCCTCCCACAACGTAGAATATATGCCCATGGGCTGCATCCTGGGGTATGGGACTCCCCTGCCTTCGTTGTTCTTGTAAACTCTGATGGGAACATCGTCCACGTAGAAACTGCATATACAGTTCCAATTTCGCATACATTATTATATATATAAAGCAATAATTAATTAATGATACCAAGCTGGACACACCCGCGTGTGGTGTTGGAATAGACTTACACAATATGGTGATGGTTCCAGATAATGGTGTAGGAGTGGAAATCAGCAGAAGGATCAAACCAGAGGTTGACCCGTTGTTCTCTATCACCCTTTCCGTGGGCATAGATATTTGTCTGAACCGTGTAGGGCTGCCCAGTACGGTTCCCCAAGAACTCGAAATCCAGCTCGTCCCGAACTGAGTCAGTGTCCGAGTTCATCTGCCACCGAAATCGGACGCAACAACGTACTGATTACATGCGCCTCTGTAGTCACTTCAAAACTGAACATAATGATAAATAATAACTTACATAAAATGCAGTGACAGTCCCAGCCGAGTCTCCGGTATGAGCTTGATCTTCATGGTAACACGACCAAACATATATTGTTTCTTGGAAGAGAACCCGCATCCTGATGAGTAAAGAAGCAGCGTTACGCTATATATATATATATATAAATTTTAATTTAATTTACCCTTAGATCAATAAAAAACATATACAAAAAAAGAGAGTGTCTAAGAAGTTACCGGAGTTTTGGTCAAGAATGAGTTGGATGGCCCTGCCGCGGTCGATTTGTCTGATATGGGAATCAGACCAAGTGATTCGAAAGTCTTGCAGAAAGGTGGCGGGTCCCCAAGCGCACGCAGCAGATATCAGAACCCATAACACCATTCTCACTGGGTAAGACATGGCATTGTCACGTATGGAGGTGCTTGGTTAACGCGATTATTAGTTATGTTTTGGGCGAATTCGTTATCGAACAGAAGTGGTGGATGGAAGGGGTGGAATGTGATACATATATATATAGGGCAATAGGAGGCTAGAGGATGATTCATTCAAATAATGGGAAGCGTCTCAGAAGAAGATAGCTTTCCGTCCAGCTAATGGCAAGCCATCATGAGGTCCTACCCAACAGTAGTGTAATGTTGCCTGGGCCTCCTCCTCTGTGAGCGTGTGCGCTTCAATTGCAAAGGACAAGCATTTAATTTCTGGATGGTTCTGTCTGTCACACACACACACACACATTCAATTTCTTCCTTTCTCTTCCACTACGTACTTCAAAAGATCGAGTATTGTTTGGTGCGGATTGATGCATGAGCAATTCCATGTGATTTCTATTTTGCTCATCTTGATGCAAGGATGCCACGAGCCTTCATGTGACGTACGTCTACAAATATTGCATTTTAAATTCTTAAATAACAAATTAATTACGTGAAAAAGTTATTCAAAGATATTATTACTTATAGGATTTAACGCGTGGAAGTTAGCTTTAATTTCAAGTATATTTATATTATGGGAAATTTTTTCTAGTATATTAGCGGTTAAATTTTATTATAGCCTCAATTTTCATTTATAAGAAGGAGAAATTAGTGGCTTTCGATAGAAGTACTGTTGAGATATGATTGCTACCACACAGGAGAATCAAAATTTGATATGTGTACTTATCAAACTCTGATTCTAGTCCGCAAATTACTTGTTAAATAATGTTATAATCATTACCTAATTACAAAAATCACATAATCTGTGTTTTTGACAAGAAAAATCAGCAGACAAGCATCTCTTTGGAGCTTCCATTTCCATCTTGCTTGATTAACGAAAAGAGGACAGATTACAGAACCATCAATCGTGCCAATCACAAGATGACACGCGGGGTTAAGGCCACTGAAGATTAAGGGGCTATATATTTATATATATATATATGGCCCTACGTCTGCATATATATCGAAGGGTTGTCTCCGTCCAACTGTCGGCAGCATCTTTAATTTGAAGCATGCTTCAAGACCAAACACTTGAGCTCTGAAAGGCTCTAATTTAGTTATAAAATGTTGCTCGCACGCGGGGACATGATCCAGCGGGAAAATTATGGATTCTAAAACGTTTGTTTCCGAAAATAAGATTAGGAGGCTCGGATCCAATCACTCTCCGTACGTGTAAAAAGGAGGACGAGTGCATTAAGTAGGCAAAGATACAAAAGAAAGAAGTAAAATTTAAGTAGCGGATGAGGATAGATAATACGTGATGATGGTAGGAGGTTGAAATTAAAGTGGACAGTCTCGGCCCATGTATTAAGCGTTTGGTGGAAATAGCTTGTGAGACAATGACTACTGAAACTTAAAACATGGCTTTGAACCCAAAGCATAAGTGCTCAAAAACCATCATTACCACCACTACTCATTTCCAGCTGTTTCGCACTTGATCAATATTACTCCTTCCGATACAAAAGAAAGAAGTAAAATTTAAGTAGCGGATGAGGATAGATAATACGTGATGATGGTAGAAGGATGAAATTAAAGTGGACAGTCTCGGCCCATGTATTAAGCGTTGGTGGAAATAGCTTGTGAGACAATGACTACTGAAACTTAAAACATGGCTTTGAACCCAAAGCATAAGTGCTCAAAAACCATCATTAATCACCACTACTCATTTCCAGCTGTTTCGCACTTGATCAATATTACTCCTCCCGTCATAAATATAAAATTTATTTTGTACTGTAAATTATATTACAAAATGGATCTTATATTTAGGAGTAGAGTAGTGATTTTTTTCCCCATATTCTCTCCAAGTCGGATAGACTAAGAATTCAAGACAACAAAAATTGAATGTTATATCTTGGTTTCAAGTGCCCAAACAAACAAATTAAACTGGAGGGAAATTTATCTCTTCAAGTCATTCTCTTTAGGTCCATGCATATATTAAAAAGAGCATAAGTAGAGAAGTATATATATGTGTTAAAATCTCTATCTAAACCTGTTCGATCAGTCTCATTACTGAGTTAGGTCAGTTTTTATTATCTTCTATTCATCCGTATAAACCATCAATTTACAAAGGGACGAGAAAGAGAGAGGAATCAGACAGGATGACGGCGATCTAACTTGGCAATTGGGATGTGACAGAATTGCCAAGCCTAGACTGTAGACCTGGGCCAACAATACATGATTGGTAGTATTTGTTAGCATTCTTTTTCAAATGCAGGCTTAACTTTTTGGTACTGTGATGGATCAATATTCGACAATAATATTCTACCGATTCTTATTATAAGACTTATTTAATTAATTTAATTAGATTTAAAAAACTAGATAAGTTAGTTAATTATAAAAAATATGACATTTTTTTAAATACCATAATCATCTTCCTGAATATCTTCCTCTCTCTTTTATTTTACTATGGTTGATGGAGTATCTATATGGATAATTTAAAAACAAATTAATAAATATGATAAATATGTCTTATATTTAAGACTAAAATTAACTCAATAATTAAGTCCTATATTAAGGATAGAAAGAGTGCTAGTTAAGAATACTTAAGTAATTAATGCATATGTGTGTTGTCTAGTCCCGATATATTCTTAAATTAATTAAATCGCCTTTTAAGTAACCTTTATCGTTTTAAAAACTGTCGTCCATCTTTTAGTTTGTCTTCTGAAGTGTTTCAACTCATATTTGCCATCATAAAAGCTCAGAAATCCTTCCTATACATAATTCTTAAATTTGAGAAGGATGTTAATCATCAGTGACCGCTGTTATTTTTTTCTTGGTTTTTAAGGAATTCAATGTTATAGTTCAGTTTGGTTATTTTTCTCTTAAGATAACGGTAAATGCTTAAGCCTGCTTGAAAACAAAGTTTTGAAATTCTCACAACTTCAGACTTCTAATAATTAATTATCGGAAAATAAAATTTTGCCTGCACATCAGTAATGGGTCATGCGTTTGGTGAAATCTGATTGTTCGAATTGAATTCATGCAGAAAGTGAAAGCACATTATATTACTTGTTTTGATGCCTACAGTAATTATACAAGTGGATTGAATAATGTTGCATGGCTTATTTAAGTGTAGAGAGAGGGGGGGGGGGGAGGGAGGGAGTGGTTGTCATTTTATTAATAGACGATAAATAAACTCTGTATTCCCTTTTCCTTTATTTTCTCAGGATGAACCAAACTAGCCAAGACTCCTCACTGTATGATAGGCCCACTATTAACAAATTAAACTACAGTATATCTCTTGTAGGGCTGTAGCCCTATGGACAGGGACTTCCACATGTGAATGAAGTTGATGGTTCTCAACTATTTCGAATAATTGCATAGTAGTCGCTTAATGTGATTATTACATCCGTTGATTTTGTCCTCCACTAAGTGGGTAAGAAGGGTTTCGAATTTTGCAGTACATCATGTTATTCTAACAGCTATAGAATGATGAACCTTCGCTGTTTTTCTGATAAACGTACTCTTTTGGGTGGAGCATATATAAGGATTAAGGAAATTAATCTCTGGCTTTTGAAGATTGTCATTGATTCCTTATTCGAAACGATTCAAATAAGCAAAGGTGGTTATGCATCGTTACGATCTGGACCACTGATAATGATTATTTTTATAATTAAATAGGTATAGATTTTGAAATATATTTAGTGAAATCTGTGGATAATTTATACCTATTTAACTATCTTTTATTAATGTATCTTCTTTTAAATTAATTATAAGATAAAAGATGATTTTGCATAAAATCTACTCAAATCTTTTATTATTTTTAATGCAGGAGATATAAAATTGTTGAGAGAAGAAAATATCACAAATAAAAGATGAGACAAAAAAGGAGCAACATATGCAGCAAATAATATATATATATATATATATATATATATATTTTCACATATGAGAATCAAAGGCGTGAAGAGGGGAGAAAAGAAGAAGCTGTGGGTCCCGGTCAAGAATCAAGGAATGAGTCAAATATAATATCTTGTATTAAGCACAACATCATGATATAAGATAATATATTATATTCTATTAGAGATATACGGATAGATATGGATAGGAGGCGGTGGATTCAATTCAAGGGAGAGAAGGCGCGCAACACTCATAAATAGGAACCGGGGAGAGCAGCAGGTGAGCATCTCGACTTCTTCGTGCTATTGTCAACTGCAGCGAGAGCTGAAGGCAGAGAAGAAGCAGCGAGTAGAGAGCGGCAGAATCCATTTGTAATTCTTGGTTCCGTTGTGACGGCAGTGAGGAATCGAGACGAGCAGACTGGAGGTAGCAAGCAGAGGTGGCGATTCTCTTTCTAGCGACAGCGGAGAAGGACCTCTTAGAGATTTGTTTTCCTCTTTCCATCTTTATTCTTTTGTTAAATCTGAACTCTTTCTTTTCAGTTTGAATTTTATTTTTATGGATTTTATTTTAGCCATGTGTGGCTAGTTTTCCTCTAGACTTAGAGTAGCTATGAACTTACGTATGGATTAGACTTTGTTTTCATTTAATGAATTATGCTTGATGTTAATTTTGGTTACTTGATCTTGGTTTAGTATATCTGTTTAATGTTTGGCCATCATTAAATATGAGTTTGAGCATTGAGGTTAGCCTTGACGAAGGAAATCTTAATTAGGCTCTAGGATTGAGTAATATGGGATTAGATTTTTATCTGATTTGCGAGTAGGATAGAAATATACCTAGGAGCCCCATATAATTGATGAAGAGTGAAATTATTTTATCCTCTTAAGTATTTGAGTTAGACATAACCTTATTACTTAGGAGAGAGTTATAAGTGGATCGAAAGACACTTTTAGCTATAAATACTCTAAATTAACTAAATTAACATTGAGACTAATTAGTTAAATAAAAAAGCAAAAGTCTATGAAACTAGTAAGGGATTAGTAACTCTAAGTTGCCTTTAATATTGAATTTTTTCTGTCTTTATTATTTTTTATCCGATCGTTCATAATTCAGCTTGCTTAACTTAATTGAAAACAGGAACTTTAGTGCCTAACACTATTTTGTCTAATTCTCTGTGGGAATGATACTCTATACTTACTTTTTATTACTTGATCGACACGTGCACTTGCGTTATTCACAAATTGTGTGCATCAACCACATTAATTAGTTAATTAATTCAGCTTATTTATATCGGCTGTTTAAGGCGTTGTTAGAATTTGCAAGCCAACGAGTTTAGAGAGGACCAACCACTAGTTTTTCATTTACGATACAGGGTTTAGCGATAATGTTTGGTTTCATGAGTTTTCAATTCATCTTACAAAGCAAACTATCTATTTCTTGTGACGTTGATCAAAACGTACGCTTGAGGGAGTTATTAGTTAGGTTGTGTTTGGAATTACTTTTGAAATCATTTATAAACATGTTTAATGTAAGTTAACTCAAAAATCCTTTCACATATTTTATCTTATATTTTACAAATCACGATTTAAAAAATTATTTATGAGTCATTTCAAATAGATTTTTAGTTTTACTAAAAGAGGTATGAGAGAACTCATTCGCTTAAATAGTGTTGTTTTTTGGTTGTGCTAAGATTTATTAAAACTCGAACCCCAAGGTTAGTTTTTGAGAGCTCCAAAATCCTTCCTTCTTTTGCATTTTACTCCTCTTGATCGTTTCTTAATTGTTTTGATAACATGTCAAACAAGACAGTAAGCATGTCGTCCATAGGAAGCAGACTCAACATATAGCTATATAGTACCAGAAGACTGAAAGTATGTATCTGACATGTTTAAGGGGTTAATCGTGTCTACACAGCGTAAGTAGTCCTTCCTTGTTCCACACCCAAGGACATGGACCACTGAGTGATAGCCCCAAGCCAAAATAACTTGGAAAATCAGTTGATTTTATGAGAGCCTCTACTTATTGCCAAGTGGGCCACAATCAGCTGGCACATTTGCTGCAGAAGCTTCTTGCTATGCACCCCACGCACTCTTTCTATATTCAATTTTAACATCGCATCCAGGCTGCAGCAAGCTAAGCAAAAACTATGGAAATGGGATTTTTACACCGATTCTTATCCTTGTTTATGTTTAGAGATTGTTTAATAAACTTCTACACGATCTGTGATCTAAGCACATATGGATCGGAAACAGGGACATCAATCGTGGGTTACGAAACAAGTTCCGGATTACATATTCTATGATTGAGTCTCTGAAACGGATTCCAAAATCAAAATTGTGCAACTCCAAATCAAGAAGCACTGATGTCTTCCTCAAAGTAAACGAAACGAACATGTATTGTCCTGCGAACCAAAAATGTACGGTCACGTTCATGCGTAGCACAGTCCACATCAACGGCGACAGTCCTTCTAGTACACACGTTGGTCTCAGTCGTAATGATGAAGGGAATCAACGAAAGAAGAATACATGTTATTTATATATAAAATATCAAAACTCGGGTAAATTATAATGTTCATCAATCATAAAAATGTATTAGTAATCATTTTACGCGCGATGAATTCATATGGAGTATTTAAATTATTAACTCCTCACGTACCTTACATTAAGAGATCATTAAAGGACTAAATGTTGGAACTTTTTTGCCAAATGAGCTCTTGTATGAACCAACCTATTATAAAACACGAAAGGCCCTAATTTGTTCTAGTGTTAATGTTAAAATAGGACTAATTCCTTAAAATAATATTCAATTAGTTAACGACATTTCATCCAATTATTAAATTTAGCAAATTTAGTCCAATAACATGATATTCATGCCAATTGGATTAAAAAGACTACTTTTTTTTCTTAACAAAAGTAAATTTTTTTCTGGCGAGAGGGAAGAAAAATGAGAGGCCCAACTTTGGATCTATTACAATGGATCGACGTTACGGGGCTTGATTAGCAATGCACGTGCTTTCCCTTGAAGCTTAGATGAGTGAGTACATTAAAAACGGACAAAATGACAAGAGAAATAAGGTAAAAATTGTCATGTAAGCATCAGTATGCCACTGCGCTTCATTATTCAGGCGCTATATAGATTGTATGAGAAGGGGTGCATATCTGAAATCTGGACCTGATTTTGCAATCAGATTTGCAACCCAGAAAATGAAGTGTGATATGTGCCTGTGATTGCACAGTGATGGATTAAGAAGTATTGAGCGAGGGAGTTCATATGTTGTTTCTCTTTTTCAATGGGAAAGAGGAACATGGCGTCATAAGGTATGACTGCTCTGATCACATGCTACCAGAAACCCAAACGGAGACATCCCATTCCTACTTTGGCTGTATCCTTCTCTATCAATATCGTCTGCCCAAGCCGAAATAAACTTAAGGTTAAAAAATAATATTGAATAGATTTTTGTAAGAAGATAAACCACAGCTGTAAGAACATGTCTGTTAGTGGGAGCTTGTCCCTCACATCTGGTGAAATTGTGGCCTTTTGCTGTTTCTGGCCTCCTAGTTGTCTTGTTTATAATATTTTCGGGGTTCTCTCATCTCAGGGCTCTGCTGCTTTTCCTTTTCAGCAATTATTAAATAATATTAGTTTGTTCTTTTAAGGGCTCGTCGTCCCAAGTAGAAGTGCTTCCCTTTTCGGGCCTCCTACTTTTCTTTCCCCTCTGCATTTTTATCATTTGTCTTTCCATGTTCCATCATCTCATTTAAAATCTCAAGCAATATATATTGCTTTCCTTGGCGTGATACTAATTCAGTTGCTGCCCTTTGCACGGTCCAGTTTTTCCCATTTTAGTAACTAAATAGTAAATCCTGTTTGCTTACTGTCTAGTCTCTTCCTCCTGCTTCTTCTTTTCCCCTGAAATTGGATGCCGATTAGCTTCCAAAATTTTTCTTCAGGCTCCTTTCCCTGAGTTTCCCCAACTCCGCCAACTTCCTACTTACTTCTTACGTGAGTTTTCCTTCCTCCTTATTCCGCGGCTTCTCCGAAATGGAACATGATAATCATGTTATATGTGGCCACAGGCTTAGCTTGATTAGCATCTCTGTGTTGTTCCTGGTAATTTCAAGCTGGATACAGCAGGCGTATGTCACTGAAGGTAAATGGCTACTTTTTTGTTTACATGCTGAGAAAACTTGTTTGACATGAGGACTTACTAACAAGTAACAACTTATTTTCGATGGTGTGACAGGTAGAAAAGATGTCAAAAAAAGTGGGTTTAGCCAGGTAGCACTCAACTCGGTTGAAAATGTTATTGTGCCTGTCATAAGTAGCATAATGAGACAATTTTCTGTAGGGCGGTGAGGATAAGTCGATGGTGAGGGCACGGATAGGATCAAGGCCACCAAGATGTGAGAGAAGATGCAGCTGGTGTGGCCACTGTGAAGCTGTTCAGGTTCCTGCAAATCCCCAGCTGCAGAATGCCAGACTTAAGCCTTCTACTGTATCCACAATTGCTTATGCCAAGGGAGATGACTATCCCAACTACAAGCCCATGAGTTGGAAGTGTAAATGTGGGAACCTCATTTTAAACCCCTGATTTAATTTCTTTACATATTCATGGTAAATGGAAGCCAATCATGTTGTCATCCCGCTACATGAATATACTTTTTCCAAGTTCAACTTCTCCTCTGTACTGAGCACCAAGCGGTTAAGTATGTCTGCTGTAATAACTTCATATCCCTCTGAATATGTCCTCCATTTCTCTTATGGCGACATATGCTTTATATCTGCTGTGTGATATGATATCTGATTTGGTGATTCTGTTGGCTTAGTGCTATGCATAAGTTGGCGCCTAAAACCTGTTTCCTTTTCCTTTGTTTTGGCTTTGGTTTATCTTTTCGATCGGTAAAACCTTATGCTGCTGAGAAGTGAGAAAAACTTGAAGATCCACTCTGTTATTGTTTATGACATGTTTGGAGGCTTGGGTGGCAATTTCCCGTTTTGTGAGAAACAAAAACGATTGATTAAATAACATGCCCCCGTGTGTGACGATTTAAGGATCCTTTGCATAACTAATAAAGGGGTTGGTCAGGTAAAACTGTTTAAAAACCGCCAGTAATTTGTGGAGAGAGGAAATCCCGAGGCAATACGCCGTAGCTGTTCTTTTTCTTCTTTCTGGGTTGTTCATTAAGACGTTCTCTGCGGTCTGCAACATGCAGTCAGCGTAAGCATTAAAAGTAAATCAAGGGGCTAACTTTTTATCGTCCTCGTAATTTTCATATTTTCGGTAGCACATTGTGCTTTGCTGGTTGGGAAATTATGAAAATTGCAAATAAATCATAACTACCATGTATTGTTATGACTAATACATAACAGTCAGATAACAAAAGCAATAGCACGGATTGCCAGTCACTGAAGAGAAGCAGGGTGTTCCTCCAATAAATCTTGGAATTTACGGTTAAACTTTTCGAACCGAAAAAAACTGGTAGCCGTTGCCCCTTTTTGGGAAAAATGACAATGAACCAGGAAGAAAAAAAAAAAAAAAAACTAAGCAAGCAATATCGCGGGAAGTTCAAAATGACACTACGATAACGGGTCACTTGAAATAACAAACGCTGGCAATCTTTTATTTCAATACGAACGGTGACTAGAGCAGACAGTGCGAACTACAGAGTGCTACCATAGACTTGTGTACTTATTTACGATTCATGCTTTTTGGTAAAAGTTTATAAACAGAAAGATTCTATTACAGCTTCATATTCAATCACTCATTAGCCATCTTTTCTGAGTGACAGCAGAGTGCACATGGATTGAGGAGAATGAGGCGGAGCTACCTAATTACCAGTATGTATAGACAGTATAGTATAGCATGAAAAAAAGAGAGTAAAACTTGTACCTTTTTTTTCTTTAAAATTAAATTTAGAGAGCAGAAAGAATAAAACTTGTATTATACCCGACTTGGATATTTTAGTCTAAACTTTATATCCATGCCCATAATATTGGATTATTGGCCGTGACTGAGGATAACGCCATCTTTCTATAATTCATTTTCCGATTTGAGGAGAGGATATGGACAGATGGATTATTGTTATTATTATTGAAGAAATGAGATGCAGCAGTAACAGTATTAAAATTCAGAGTAGCATTTGTCGGGAAGCAAACTAGAAGCACAAGGCATCGCTTCTTGAAAAAGCAGGACAGGCATCAACCTGATATGGATTTTAAAGTGGCTACACATTCATCCTTTCTTTAGTATGTGAACAACAACTGCATGTTTGTGCTAGCAGACACAATAGACATGAAGAATCACATTCAAATTCATGATGAACTTGTCATTGAAATTAAAATGAGTAGAGAAAGAACAAAACCCTTGGAATCTAAAAGTGAAAGCAGAACGAATGGTCAGGAAGTAGAGAGCACTCACGTGAGGAGAACTGAGAAGCGAGAAGAGCATAAAGGAGCATCACAGACTCAAAAAGATTAAAAGAGAGAAGAATGTTGGAGCAAAGGTCAAGAGTGAAGACAGGCACAACTGAAAAGCTTGGGGACCACATGAAGAAAAAGGGATTCTGATTCCCATCCCAGACCAGCTTTTGCTGAAATATTTTGGTGTGCTGTATATATCAGCAACAAGGCATTGAAGTTGCTCTATCTCTGTGCCCACCACAAACGGTACTGCACTAAACTACCAAATACCCTCATACTCCACAATTCAGGTGTTCCTTTCTTCTCTAACGCCTTTCTCTGTCCATTTTCATCACTCCACACTGCCCAGAGAATTGGGCCTCACCAAGTCACCCAAGGCAGTAAAGCCTGAGCTTTTGAGTGCATCCATTTACCCTGTGGGCTATGCGCCGCAAATCTTTATTCTCTCTTCAAATTAAAGCCCGTCATTCTACCAATGTGACGGACTATTACTGGCACAGGGTTCAGTAAATTCATCCAACACCCTTTGATACCAATTTCCGTCAGTATCATTATGATCCCCATCCAACGTTATCGCACATGTATTCATAAAACAAGCTACAATGGACTTTTCCAGCTTGGACTTCGTCATTTTGCCCCCTGAGAAACTAGACTTCCGTCATTCGTCATTGTACAATCTGTGCTCAACATGGCATTTACACTGAACTTTAAAGCGCACAGATCACGAAAGATAATCACAAAACAAGAGAGCAGTTGCGGGTTATGATTTAAAGACTTGCCCCAAAAGAATTTTGGTGCTAAAACTGTAAAGTAAGAACTATAGCAGCTGATGACATTTATCAATCTCTATCTCGTCGTCCTAGAAGTTCCGACAGAGAAAGTTAATGGGAAAAATGTGTTGCATAGAAAATGAACTCCTATTCCTCCTGCAGGATGGCTGCAATTCATCAATTTCAGAATTTAACATGCCATGCTTCAAAATGTGGCTTAGTTACCATATTCTATTGGGTGTGCTTTTCTTTTGGGGTTACAATCTATAGTGGGGTATCTAGCTGCACGCGTGTAACTTATTTGTGCTGCCCTGACGGGCCCATTATTCTTTACCATCAATCACGCGAAACAGACGCCCTGGCAAATTCAAGAGGGTTGGGTTTAGAATATGGCAAATTAAGGTTTAAATATCCGCGGATAGTGCTTGAATACGGTTGGAGTATAGCTGGGTCTAGAAGAAAAAACCTGGCACAACTCGCACAAGCCACAGTTCCAACTTCTAACATTTGGTAATGCCATATTTCAAGTCGACCGCGAAAATTATTTGTGATTTTTTATTGAGTAGAGTAACGTGAAATAAGATTGCAAAACACGGCGACTCAACACAAAAGGAAAGAACTGCGGTCCAAAAGAAACAACGAACAAATTTTGACAGTTGATTATAAACAGGGAGATTGGCACGATGAGGAAGAGGCTGAGATTCGGCACGACGGGGTTTGAAGGCTTACGGAGCTGCCTGGTTGCCCGGAAAAACGTTGAGTTGAGGGAATGGAATATGCATCCACTTCACTGCAGAGAAAGAAAGATCATTCCCAGAATGGTTATGTCACCAAAAAGGGGAAAAATGAACATGTGTGAGTTGAAATTAATGCAGGATGACACAAATATCCGCTTCTATTTTCGTCTCCTCCTCGTCGTTTTGATTTATCATCGTCTCCTTCTGCTTAGATCTTTAATTCTTTGTCTTCGGGTTCTTCCTTCTTCATTTTCAGTCGCAAATCACGTCCAAAAGGCGCCAGAGACTTCTCCAAACAAAATTTAGGCCCAATCCTACTTTACTTAAATTCCGTACATAAAGGGGTAGATGAAAGGTGGGAATTTTCATGGGAAGAAGTATTTACATTTAATAATCAACACTTGAACTAATAAGAGTTAATTTAGTTGGTAAGGAATCAGCTCATAACCTATAAATGTGTTCCTTGTGAGTTTCAGAGACCCAACTCACCTAATTTTTTTTTTGTACAAAAGAAAGTAATCAATACTCCTCCGGCCCTTAATATAAGACCCAATTGTTGAGTTGGTTTTGGTCCTAAATATAAGACCCATTTCTCATATTTATCAATTTTTTAAATTACCTTTATAGATACTCCCTCAACTATAATCAAGTATAAGAAGAAGAAGGGGTATTAAGAAAGATGATTATGGTATTTTAAAAAAAACGTCTAACATTTCTTATAATTAACTAACTTACCTAACTTCTTTAATCTAATCAAATTAGTTAAATGAGTCTTATATTAAGAAGAAAAGGAGTATTTGAATAGAATTGTCTCGGAAAAAAAACTGCGCCTACCTTAAAAAAAAAACAGGGTAGATGGATCATGGATCCAAAGATTATAATTTTATTTAAATTTGTGAATTTTTATAATGTATGGATTAAATTAAAAATAATAAAAATTCAGGACAACGGAGTACTCCCCCAACCCTATTTTTTAGCCGATAACGGAATAATTTAATTATTATGTGAATGTATAAGATGCCACGTGTGAGATTGCAATCCGCAAAAGATTCCTTCTCCTCCAGTAAGGGCCATAAACGGCGGGGGTCGTTTGGGTCACGTCTCGCTTCTTTGATCAAGAAGGAAACGAAGGGAGGCGGGCACTTCAAATGATTGGTATAGGCCTTTCGCGTCTAATGATTTTTTTTCCCCCCGAAAAATCACAAAAAAAAGATTTTGAAAATAGAAAAATCATAAAGAAGGACCCATTACAACATTAAATTGGTTTTGATAACAATTATAAACAGATAACAACAAGTTTTACGAACGAGTTCTTATGTGTAATTTTTAAAATTTTTAAAATCTTTTTTCACGGCTGTTTTTTTTCTTTTTGACTTCTCATTTAAAAGTTAATGTTACTTGTGCATTTATTATTACCCTGATTTGAAACTCCAATTGAGATCTATTTAGGAGTTCCTTTGAAAACTATGAATAGATTTCAAGAGTCCCATATTACCCAAGCCCAGCCATATATTTACATTTTTATACGTTAAAACCCAGGGTCATGTACTTATATTTTATATGAATTAATTTTTTGATAAATAAATTTTGTTAACTGAAAACCAAACATTCACAACAACCCAATTTGCTTCGTCTATCACATCAAATTGCCATCTTAAAAAAAAATGATGTTAAATGACCGCTTCTCACATGCCATCAAATATTTAAAACGCAAATGTGAAAGATCCCATATCAATTGGACTGCGTCGTACCACTCAATCTAAAACGGCCCAATTTGCTTCGTCCATGGCATCAAATCGCCACTCCCCCACATGCCATCAAAAGATTTCACGCTAATGCGAAACATTTCATATCCACAATCCAATGTATTGCATTGTACCTCTCAAAAAGTTGTTATCCCCATCTTAAATCCGCCTATATTTTGCAGCTATCAGATCTAACATCAGTTTTTGTGCCCCCCACGAAAAGGGAAAAAAAAAAAAAACTCGCAAAGCTCATATGCCCAGATCTTCCAGAATATAAACCATCTCCCTCTAACATTCTCACAGCATTGTACCAGCGAAGTCCTCCCTCCTGCCACCGCCTCTTATTGCCGTTCTCTACTTTAACACAGAAACTGCTCCATCCCCAAATGCCAAAAGAACCTCAGAACGTAAACTAGAATACTTCCTTCATCTCACTCCCATTACCGGATCTGCTGACCTGTTTCTTCCGGGTACGTTTTAAATGCCTTCATGGTAATGCTTTCCTATTTATATTGCTCCTGAGAAGTTTCTTCAATTTATGTGATTGCAATTTGGTCACTTCTGATCTTTATGGCTTCACGATTACCTTTGAGCATGCCTTTATTGCATCAGCATTTGATACGCAACCTCCGACAACTATCTTATCCAACTGGTTTCCCTCCATAATCCGTGTGATGCGTTAACTCGTATTCACCGAGCTGGTGTTTGATGGTCAAAACATAATTATCTCTTATTTGTTCGATTTTTCAACGTGATTTTATGTGATTTACTGATTACTGATGATGCCTACCTTGCATGTTATCAGTAATGTTGGTGAAAATGTGTCCTTTTTATTTGTTGTATCTCGTCCATTGATGGGCTTTGGTAACGGAAAATCTGGAATATTCGCACTCTTGAGAAAAACGTGATGAGGGAGATCTTGATTTTTCATTATTTATTCTTTCTTATCAGCTACATAACGATCCTATGTGGCCAGGTGCTCCAGAAAGTTGAATTCCGAGGAGCAAGAAACATTCAGTTTCTGAGATGTTTAGGTCATCTCCACGGAGGAATCAAAGATCCAAAGGCTTCAAGGTGAAGCATGCTGTACAACTCTGTCTCCTGCTTGCCGTTGGTCTCTGGATGGTTTTCCAAGTGAGACACTCCCATGAAAAGAAAGCATCATATAGTAAAAGCATAAAAGCCGACCGTGAAGTTTTGAAGTTGGGGAGGAAGGACCCCCATCATCCTGTTGTCGATGCAAGGCGCAAAGACGACAACGATGAAGAAGAGAGCAAGCACCATGAACAACACAAGCTCGATGACATTAATAGTGTGGATGATGATGCGCTGTCGCAAAAGCATGAGCAAAACAATGAGGAGGAGTTTGAGCATAGACAGGATTCTGTAGATCAAGAAAGAGAGAATGAAGAGAATTCTGAAAATGCCACGACAGATAAGGAAAGTGAGGGGCATGACGAGAAATTTAGTGAGGAAAATGACAGTAAGGGGATTCAAGAAAACAAAGATGAAGGGGAAGACAAAGAGACAGGAGAGAGTAACAGGAGAATGAAGAGACAAAGAGACAGAAAGCGAAGCTAAGGAGAGCGAAGAGATCAGCGAAAAGGAACATGTGGAGGATAGTCAACAGCAAGACAAGGAAGATAACCATGAAGCAGAAAAATACGAAGAGCACAATAAGATTCTGGAACAAATTTCATCAGAGGATAATGTTCAGGACGGGGAAACGAGCAGTGACGAGGCCAGAGAGGAGCATTATACAGGAGATGCCTCCAGTGCTCTAGATCATAAAACGCAGGATATCTCAGATGAAACCGATAACAAGACAGAACAGTTCGAGAAGGGAGATGAGAATGAGTTTCAAAAGAACAATTTCGATAACAAGGAATCAATTTCAGATGCAACAGTATCAGAAACGACCGAAGATACCGATTCTTTAGTCACAACCAACCAAGGATGGTAGTGAGAATCAGACGCGGACAGAGGATGATTCAAAGAAGAGTTCCAAGGTAGAGTCAGATGTGCAGCAGAAGGAGCAAAATAACCCCACCACAGATGATGTAGATCCTCTGGACTCGACATTGAAGAATGAGAGGGATGCAACATCTAGTACAACTGACAACCATATGAAAGCATCTGGTGACACAAACTCCAAGGCAGAGGAGTCCAGCTTGGACAATACCATGCTAAAAACGGAAAATTCTGAACCAGACGCCACAGAGAAGCAAGCTGATTCCACTTCATCTTCATCGGGAACCCATGACACAGATGTTGCCAGTGGAGAATTCAAGGATAGCTCTAGTAAACCTGAGCAGGGTGAAAAAGCCGAGGAGAATATTTTATTGTCCACTTCAAATGATACACTAAATTCTAACCAAGAGGTGCAACTCGCTTCCTCTGATACTTCATCTAAACAGAAGAGAGATAGATCCTCGAAATCAGAATTTAATGGTGTTTTGGTCACAATGACAATGAAAACACTGATCAGAGCAGGACGAGCAGTGATGAAAAGGGCAGTGATAATGTACATACGAGCCAAGAACAAGCCAATCCTTCTGACACTTCCTCGAAGCCGAACAAAGATGAATCCTTAATCTCGGAAAATAAAAGTGATGCTAACAAGAGTAATTTCCATGACAATGAAGTTGACGACAATGTGAATGCTAGTCAAGATGTGCCAATCAGTACCTCTGATTCTTCGAATCCTGAAGATAAAGAGGCTTCCTCTGACGGGACGGCTGATTTAGGGCAGAATGAAAATGAGAGCACCGATCAGAGGGAAACGCATGAAAATGAAGATGGAGATCAAAATGTGTCAGCTGAATCTCAAAATGGGAAAGAGGACGCAGTAAACTCAAACGACAATAGCAATGCCGATTCTTCAATCCGTGAGGATATTAAAGAGGCTCGAATGGATTTGGGAACTTTGCCAGAGGGCAACCCAGAAACCAATCATCACAATGATGATACAGCCACGGAGAGATGATTGAAATAAATCAATTATACATTGCAGCCAGCTTCTTTCTTATATATCATGAGATGTGTATTGAGTCATTGCATAGCATAGCTAATATGCTATGAAATTTTAATTTTGTCAATTTGATATGCATAACATTCTTCGGGGTCCAGCCAAAAACATCAGAAATACGGCGGGGAGCATTCTTCAGTCATTTCTATATGTATAATCCACTCGGACAAGCTTATTTTGCGGAACTACTTGCTTCCCCCCCCCCCCCCCCCATTTGTGAACGCAGTCCTTCTCCCTTTCCCATCGAACATATGATTTAGTAATCAATCCATCTTAGTGACCGGATGCTTTACGGGGAAAAACTAAAAGAGAACCGTCTGTCCCTGGCTTAATTTGCCACTTCCCTCAACAGCTGATATGGATGGTAGTTTAACAAATCAATCCCAGGCGGCATTATTAATTACTGTGACAGTAGCCATCATGAGTGATTTCTCCAGTTAAACGTTAACACTCTCATGTCATGTAACGTCGCTGCCAAGTTCTGATAAAATAATCAAGGAACCATATCTCTATAAGATTCATGCTCAAAAGTTTTCTCATCAAGTCAACGATTTCCCTACTACATTATTTATACTTCTGAGTGATACTTTGTCGTTCGCCACATTACAATGGACTTTCATATCATGAAAAATGACAAAACCCGTGATCGCTAGAGACCGCTGCTTAATCTTTAACTCTGCAGGGTTACAGGGCAAAGAATCAATCAATTATTTCGTTTGTCCCGTCAAACAAGGAATCGAACCCGAACACTTAACACTAACGAATCCAACCATTATATTCGTGGTTGAGCTAATTCTAGATTTATTTTAATTGTAAATGCCATAATATAACCTGCAATTTATTTTCGCTATTCTCAAATCACGACCATCGATAAACAGTTTATCACATGTATCCATGATTCTTCATAAAAAATTTGCTGTCAAATCGTATGTTCCACAGCACAAGTCTCTAGCATCCACATGGAACCAGAAATACCAACTTGAACACAAGTACACAACACAGATTATATGTCATTCCAAACGTTTTTTCTGCCTTCAATAGGTAAAATTTGATAGGCAAAACACTGATGCAGGAAGATTCTAGACCAGAGTAAGAATTCAAAACGTACAAAAATTTCATCTTAATCCAGTGGGTCTGATTTCACGTTTACAATTATAATCCAATATGTAGTGCATTACCAAAATGGGTCTCTCAAACAGTCAATCAGGCCTAAGAAAAAAAAAAATCAATCGCTTTAGCCTTGTTTTGTCTTTAATCAAATTCTTTGGAAGTTGTCAAACGATTGATCGAGAACAGAAACAAACGATCAAATGTAATTGCAACTTTATTTTACTTGAATGCATGGGAAGCAGACATGAACAAATGTGCTGCAAGATCCAGATCGAATTTCATGAAAAAATACGAAAATGCCGTCATCGGTGTGGTCTTGAACATTGACAAGGGAAGGGAAATGGCTCAAAGTAAAGCGTCAGTGTGCTGCAAAATAACCTGAGCATGACACCAATACTAGTGCTTCACTTCAAAAAGACCATCTGGACCTATATATCACAAGAGAACCATGTTAAACAATCTTTCATTGCAGGTCAAATGATAATTTGAAGAAAATAATTGCCCAATGGTAACATCGCAATTTCAAATAGTCGCCAACTTGCCATGGATCATACCCAAAAAAGGGGTTGGGTAAGAAGAAATGAAGCATACATGAGCAGTGTGTATATGAAGCTTAAAGAATCCCCATGTGTCAAAACACTGGTCTATAATATGCCCAAGAGCAAGCTAGTCTGAGATCCAAGTTCCCAGAAATTATTGGGAGGGATGCAGGCGGCGCTTAGGCCAGTACCACATGGACCAGTGCATAACCGAAGCAATAAACAATCTTGGAAAAGGTAAAATACAACCCTACAACAAACTTCATGGGAAAATGGTCTTGCATTTCGCTAGAGCTAATTTCAAGATCAAATCAAATGTTGCTACGTTGTATTTACTCATGTACAAAATAACAAACACAAGCAGATTTATAGCAGCCACAACTTTTATAAATAGCATCAAATGCATAAGAGTATATTTAAACAGAGAATTTTCAGAAAAAAGTATATGTTGATCACATCCTTTGATACTTTCTCAATTTACAGTATAGATCTATTATTATCAATGTAACCAAATGTGGTTTTCTCTAGCATAATAATGTTACAACTTAAAACGCTGCTCTGTAATAACTGATTGTGAAATGTAACTACTCAAGGCAAGGACCTCAGTATTATAAATAGAATAAACTATTAGGGTAATGGATATTTCCAGCATGAACCACGGTAGACAAAGTGAGATTACAATATCCAATGAACCGTAGAGAAGTGAAACAAACATACCCCATGGAAATTCCTTATTGCGGATGTGTAAATATGGGTACGCCTGCTCAACAACATAAAAGATATATTGAAAATGTGAATTGGATTGTCATAAAGCATATACAAACACAAGGCAGAAGAATCAGAAAGAGAGCACTTAAAAAGTATGCATGTCAAAGTAACAACAATAAAGGACTGCAGGTGTGTAGAAAGAAAGCTCACCGGAGGCTCTTCATGGTGATGATGACCCTTCGATAGCTGATAAATGGATAAAACAGTGCAGGTAGCAATGCCAAGATAAGTAATCTTCTCCCACTTGGCTGTCTCGTCTGACACAATTAAAAAGATGACTTTAAAAAGTTAGTAGCGCAAGAAAATAACATAAGGGAGAATCAAAGCCTATAGCAGAAATTCTACCAAATTCTTAACAGGAAAATCAGGATTCGCGCCTATAACCATGCGGCAGCAATCGTTTGAGGTTAGTCCAGCAATTCAAGTACATCGACTAAACTAAAATCTTGGACAAATTTGGGTAGCAGAACACCTAAGAATTTTACTTCGCAATTCTGACAATGGGAAAGCAGTGGCTTAAGGTTATTCCGGCAATTCAAGTGCAAGCTGCGTGTTGCGAAGCAGTTGAAAACAAAAATGATACAAAAATCTGAATCCTCCGAATCATCACGCATTCAAGTTAAAGCTAGGCTTGAAAATCTATTGGCTAAAACAAAATGCTTAACAATCAGACTTCAGAAATAAAATTCAATCATATTTTAATTTCACCCATCAAGTCACTGCATTGAACCCCAAAAAAAAAAAATAAAAAAAAAAATAAATCATATTCAATGCTCCATTTTTAAACACGAACAAGATCATACTACAGCAATTTCATATACACATTCACGTTTTCCCAAATGTATTTACTAAAGCAACGCCGCAATCCAGCTCCCATCAATGGGAATGATCGTCTTTAAAGTAAAATCGCATAAAGAAAAAAGAAAGTTACAATCGGATCGCCGTGTGTGGTGAAAATCAACGCAGAAATTGTAACCTAGATAAACGAACGGGTGAGTGTGCGTGTGGTCTTGGTTGGAAAGAAAAGGAAAAGGAAGGAGACCCACAAGCATCGTCGTGATGAGCTGAGGAAGAGAAGTTTCTGCGGGGAACAGCGGATCCTCGTCCGCCTCCTCGCAGAGCGGTTCGAAGAAGAGTAGATCGCACCAACGCCGTCGCCATAGCTTAGGTATTAGCCTTGTTGTCTATCCCGCGGTGCCTCAGCGACCCGTTTTGCTTTATAATTACCCCTCAAGCCTCCTGGCTGAAGAGATGCCTTACGCCTTCGGAGTTGCTTAATTATCAGCTTTTGATTTAAAAAAAAAAAAAAATGACACAAAAATAATACTCCTCCGGTCCTAAATGTAAGACCCTTATACACTAGTATAAGGATCTACATTTAGGACGGAGGAGTATTTAAAATTAAAAAATTTTATTTGGTCACGCATAATTAAATTGAGATTCAAAAATTTGTGAAAAGATTAAATTACATTTTATATTTTTTAAAAAAACTATTAAGCACCATCACCGGTTGACCAGTCACCGGAGTTTTGGTGCTAGCAACCACTGCCAAGATCAGGTGACCGGCAACTTTTTTTTTTATAATTTTTTTGTAGTTTTAGTGACACAATTAGCAAATTTTTTAACGCTATTAACAAATTTAATATAGTAGTTAACAACAGATTTTTTAGAAAATTTAAAAATTAGTATTTTTACAACTTTAGTAACGCAATTAACAAGTTTTTTTAACGCTATTAACAAATTTAGTATAGTAGTTAACAATAAATTTTTAAAAAAATTCAAAAAATTTAATTTTTACCACATCAGTAATATGATTAATAAGTTATGTAACAACATTAACAATTCCCGTAACGTCAAAGCACATTTGCTCTATCCAGAGGTAAGGCACCAAAACAAATAAACCAATCCCGCATTGGTCTAGTTAACGAGGACATGTTTCTTTATGAACCTGAAGTCTAAAAGTATGTCCTGGTTTAACTCAGCTAAATTCTTTTTATAACAAAAACATAAATAAATGAACCAATTCTAATCAATTTCAAACCTCTGACCCCCGGAAGGGTCCAGGGTGTCCATATATAGCGCAACGGCATGTCGTTCTTCACAGAGTCCAGCTATATTTATCTTTTTTTTGATACAAAGAGTCCAGCTATATTTATCATTAACTAAAAATTATAGTGCATCAAACTCGCAAGAGTTAAGCGCAATTAATGTAATTGAACTCACGTGTTTACTTGGATTTTAAGCATCTCTGAGTCGACTTTACTTTGGAATTCCTTTTTCCGGTCCTTTGGAAAAGCCAAAATTAAAAAACCGTTGTTACTGCATTTGCAGGTTCATTAATAATGCATCTAAGCAAATAAAAAGGAGAAAAAGTTGTATTAAACCAATGATGTTTTATTTTATGACATAGTAGCAGCATGTTTTTACCCGGGCTTATGCACAACAAACTCTTCTAAGCTATGAGGAGCCCATCTGGGGATCGGTGCATTTTCATATGAATTTTAGAAATTTGATATTTATTTTTTATTTTGATTGCCATACGCTTAAAATCATGTTAGAGAAGGGGAAAGCAAAAGACGAGCATGAGAAAGGCTACACCGATCATTATTGGGCATACTTTTAATGAAATCACGGGCAACGCCAAGTTGCAGTAAAATCTAATGAAGATTACTATAATGGACACTTGTTTTAGCTTCTCCTAAACATTTTTTTTTTAGACAAGCTGAGATAACTTTTTCCCCGCAAACTTATTTCATACACTGTGAATTACTTGTAAAAATCCAATATATACACCCTGGTAGCTTATCAAACTAGATAGGTCTTAACGCCCGCGGGATTCATGAGACTATTGGGCAATCAACTGTTATATTTATCTGCTCGGGGGAAAAAAAAAAAAGTGATATTTCCGCGGCTTCTCAGTTCTCACGACCTTTCTCTTCTTATCTGTCGTTTTTATTATTATTTTCACTATAACTTAACAAGGAATAAAAGTCGTGTAGGATCTAAAATGGAATAAAGGACATGTGGATCGGTGGATCCTACTACGATGAATCACCAATCCTTCCTCCCCCATCCCTTTTTTTCAGTGAGTATTAACTTTAATTAATAAAAAGAAAGCGATGCTAAATATTGATATCATACGTGTTAGTCCTTCTCAATTTAATTATACGGAATCCATATTATAAAAATTGAGAAATTGCCCGGACATAGATTTATTCCTTGTTATTTAAATTTGATATAATATTAGGTAATAGTACGTAAGACTACATAGTTTGTCGAATATATTTTTCCTAAATGTATGTTGATTTATTTTTCATAGACGGAGGTCGATCTGTTCTAAATTTTTTCTCAATCTTCAAATCATGGGGATACGATGTCACATGATATGACTTTAATATATATATGTTTATGATTATTTGTAATATGGGGTAAGAATATATGCACAGTACTGTTGTGAAAGGATGTAGAGATATGCTATATACATGCGCACAGAAATAAGTGCAGAGAGACGTTGAAAATCCACAGAATGTTCTCTCAGAATTCTGCAGCAAGCCCTAGAAGAAAACAAAATAAAAATTCTGCTTGTATAAATGTGAACGGCGATGTAAGAGACAAAAGGAGAGGGCTAAATGAAAAGTCAGGAAGAGAAGAACAGCAACAGCAAAGGGTTAGAAAATGGAGGAAATAAGATTAGTGTGGTTGGAGAAAAAAAAGGCATATTCACTCGGCTGTCGCCTTGTCCCATAATATCAACGCAGCCCAAAATCTCAGCATGCAACAAACCAACCATGCTAGCCAAAAATCCTGCCTTGTGGTGGACGCTGTGCATATCATCATATAATATAATAATACATTTTTGTGGCTATTGACTTACTCTCCTGTGGGTCCGCGATGTCTCCGCTCGGTTTTGTTTCTTCTTCCAAAACACCCTAAACAACAAGCTTCATCCGAATGGGAGATCGATGTACATACGCCTCCATTGCTCTGCACCAAAGTTGTTTACCAAAAAAGTCCACCTCCCTTTATTTCTCTCTAATTTAATTCCCTACGCCTACCTTTATATACAACAAGAGTATTACCAACAGCATGAGTAATGAGGGGAAGAAATGAAAATGTAGTAGGTGGAGAAAAAAGGGGGGATTTTGAAGTTGATTTTCCTTTCATTCTCACAAGGCTGCGCCCAGAGAGTACACCACATCGTCCCTGCTCCATCCCGCACGCAGCAACCTCCGCGACCATAATCTCACGTGCAGCGCCACGTCCCCTTGGTCTTCCGGGGGCCCACCTCCCTCCACCTCATCCTCCCCACCCTTCATCATCTCCCGAATCTCCTCCTCCCTCCACCCCCCCTCCCTCAATCGGCAGCACGCGCCTTCCAAACACTTCCCCACTCCCTCCGTCGCCCCGCTCCGCCACCACTCCCTGCTCGTTTCCGCCACCTCCGACCAAAACTCCACCTCCTCGCCGTCGTTGCCGCCCACACCGGCTCGTCCCATTCCCATTCTCCGTCCAAAGCCCCGCCTCTCCGAAGAACCCGGACACGTCGTTGCTCAGCAGCCGAACGTCTCCTCGTGATCCACGCAGAACACAGGGTTCCCCGCTAAATTCGGAGACGATGCTATGTAGCAATGCCGGTAAATTGGGACCAGGGCGGGGCGCCTCCTCCAAGAATCGGCGCGCATAATCCAGAGCCGTGCCTCTGTCCCGAGGCCGAGTCCCCCAAGAAGAGTGCCAGAAGTTGTTCTTCGAGACCCGTCGCAACAGAGAAAATACGGGGAGGTTCAGCAGGACTTGGAGCTGCTGAGCAGAGGAGGAACGCCAGTTGGGGAAGCCCGGGGACGTCGGCAGACCCAGCTGGAGTATAGAGCGGAGGTCCGGTGGAAAACAGAAGTTGAGGGAGGACTCAAGGTGTGAAATCTCGGAGTCGGAAAGGCCTTCCTCCACGGCTATATTGGAGGACTTGAGATGTTGTATGAGAGTCTTGGCATATGCAGCAAATGAAAAGCATATTCGCTTTGGTCTCGGCCGGTTATTCTGTTGGGGACGATTATTAGTCCTGGTGCCGAAGGCGTCTCCGGAGGTAGCTATCGCGGTCGCCATGATGAAGCAGGGCCTCCGGCCAACAAAGAATACCAAGGATGAGATATGACGGGAAAACTGAGGTTTTGAGAATTGGGGAGGAGTGACTAAATTCTGGGGATTCAATTTCTTAGTGGGTCATGGCGTTACGTAGTGAAGATTGTTTTGGGAGCGAAGAAGTCGGTTGGGTGGAGATTGCGATCTTTTCCGCAAGCGCAGTTGTGGAGAGATATAGAGAGAGATAGAGAGAGAGAGGGAGGGAGAACGTTTGACTCTCGAGGAATATGAGAATAGCATAGCATGCTGTTCGCGTATTCTCAAGGATTGGCCCGTCGTCGGGCGTTACCACTCACGTGCTATTCTCCCATTGGCATCTTCTGCTTTCATCTCCCTTTTATCATCCCCTGTGATTTTCTAATAATGCTCAAAAATAAAATAATAATCATCCTTCTCTGTGCAACAAGTTGTGGATGTTAATTAATTCTTCAAGGTAAAACAGTGCGATTAACGCATTGATTAATCCCATATATATTTTTCTCAAATTTATTTTCAATAACCGCTCCCTAGGTATTAAGGGATTGGAGGGTCTTCAAGTCTAATTTCCATATATTATGCCAAGTTGCATTGACATGACATGGAATTATATATTTGCCCCTTTCCGTGGGGCCACGGTTTTAGAAGTTTCCTCTCACATGCTATCTGCCAGTTAATCTGCTGTGTTTCATTTTTAATTGGCTGCGTATATATCGCTTCTTTACACAGACACAGACACACACATATTCCTTAAAACCGCGTTAATTCATTTACTATTTGCCACATATTTGCTGTCTCACACTTGTAAATCTTTTCATTCCTCTTAACCTGATATCTCATGTCTGGCTGTTCTCATATTGACTTTAATTGGGTGGGCTCATAATTAATAAAATACTCATCAACACGATCACTTACAGTTTTGTCTATCTATTTGTACAATTCAAGTGATAACACTAATAGGAGCTCATTCCAATGAAAGGGACTAATACTATGGTTCTCTCACATATTAAAAAAAGAAAAAAGAAACATTGCTTGCAATGATTTTGTTATTATTGTTGTGGTGTGTTCCTATAGTGGCTGCCTGCCCGTAGTTACGCACGGAGGCACAACGGACTTAGAAAGTACTACAGACATGATTAATTAAATTATACTTTGGCCGTATACTTTTTAATTTAAATTGAAAAAACTTTAATTATACAGTGCTGCCACAACGCTCTCGTACTTCCCCTGTCTTCTGCAACCATTTTATACGTCTACAAGTCCTTCTTATACATGAGAACTGCTGTACGTCTACGTACGTCTTCCACGGGCGTCAAATTTTCTGCAAAGCATAGACTTTTTAAATAGCAAGTTTGAATATGAATTTCTAGAGATATATTTGACAGTCAGGGTTGATATTATGATTTGAGAAAACGATGAAGTTGGACATCCGTCAAAAATTCCTCTGTTGAAAGCACGAAGGTGAGAGGAACGTTCCTTTTTTAAGATAACAAGTGATTTTCGACAAGTTATCATCATGGGGCCTTGCGATAAGCTTGGAGATGAAGAGATCATGTCTATCATAGCTGTATGATTGTGAGAATAATGCATACTGGTGAACTCTCGAAACTAGAAAGAAGAAAAAATCTGGGGGAGACAGTTATAAACACAAGTAGACCAATGTAATTCTCCTTTTCTTTTTTCTTTCTTCCCGCTCCGGGGGTGTGGAATTCGAAGAAGAAAAAGTTTAATCAAGTAAACCGTTTTTAGATGGGTAATCAAAAGGCTGAATTGTGAATAGATAGAAGGTCACTATAATTCTGGGGAAGAAAAAAAGGCAATTTAGATTTTCCATATGATATAATTCCATTTTTTGTGACATCTAACTTTAATTTTGAAATCTTTAAATCTGCATAATAAGAGGGCTATTTCAATGGGGTATAAAGCATGAAATCGATTACACCTCCTGCCTCCTTATGAAGAAAATTAATGAAATGGAAGGAACGTCATTTTTTTTTAAATTCAGAGAAGCAATTAAATTGAAAACAATAATGGGAATGGGTAAGTCCATATTTGATAATAAATTATGGGTCTTTCTTTATCAATATTTTGAAACGTATTTCTCGAGAGGCAAGGAAACAGCTAATGAATTTTATATATATTTGTTTAATTTTCTGTAGAGGAAGAACAGGATTCTGAGGTTAATAAATGCAATAGTTTGAATCATTGGCCATTGTTCGCTCAAAATTTTACGTACAAGTCTTATTTGATTTAGTCCGATTGGGCAAACGAAGATTCGGCTGTAAGATGCGGCGTTACGCCCAAAGCTATTGTGAAATCTCTGTGCCTTCGCGTTCTGTGCGTTTCTCTATTCCCCACACCCCACGGGGGGAAAGGAATTAAACACGAAATCAGACAAGCATGAAAAACATGCCTTTCAATTAGTATTCTGTAGTAATTCCGCGGCAGCACGCAAAAAGGTCAAAAGGGGCAGTGGGGACTACGCCTATTGAAGGATGCAGTCAGAGTCAACATCTTTGAATTATATTGTGCTCTTCAAGATTCAACTTCCTACATGGCTCCCCTGTAGCCACTGTGATGTCTTTTAGCTATGCAATGTTTATTTTGGTCAATGACGCTGTGCATTGCCTGTACGGTTTGCATTACATTCGTTTTCCCAGTTGACATCGTGGTGATTTAAGCTTTCGTAACGTACTCGGGCCTTTCCTTTCTAGATCCAAAGCATGTGGAACGGGGCTTATAAATTTTGTGGAACCCAAGTTCAATTTGTAATTGCTGTATAATGAACTCCCGCTTTAGACAACAAATCGCGAGGCATTAGTAATGAAAGAGTTCAAGCTCCATACTGTATAACAGATGGTAGGCCAATGGCAGCAACTAGAGAGAGAAAACAGGGAAAATACATATCAGCGACCGGCGCCATTTGAAAAAACACTAGACCATAAAACGATGATAGACTGAAGGTAGAATTTTGTAATCAATACTCGTCTCCCTCATCGCCTTCTTCACCTTCCGCAGCTTCCGCACCGACCTCCTCGTAGTCCTTCTCCAGGGCAGCAAGGTCTTCACGAGCCTCGGAGAACTCACCTTCTTCCATCCCCTCGCCAACGTACCAGTGTACAAATGCCCTCTTGGCATACATGAGATCAAATTTGTGATCAATGCGAGAGAAAACCTCAGCAACACTAGTGGAGTTTGAAATCATGCAGACGGCTCTCTGAACCTTGGCAAGATCACCCCCGGGAACAACAGTAGGAGGCTGGTAATTGATACCGCACTTGAATCCAGTAGGGCACCAGTCAACAAATTGGATGGTGCGCTTGGTCTTGATGGTTGCCACAGCTGCGTTCACATCTTTAGGGACCACGTCCCCTCTGTACATCAGACAGCAAGCCATGTATTTGCCATGGCGGGGATCACACTTGGCCATCATGGATGACGGCTCAAATGCGCTATTTGTGATTTCTGCAACTGACAACTGTTCATGATATGCTTTCTCTGCTGAAATCACGGGAGCATATGATGAAAGCATGAAGTGAATCCTGGGATAAGGAACCAGATTAGTCTGAAATTCTGTGACATCAACGTTCAAGGCACCGTCAAACCTCAAGGAAGCCGTCAGCGATGATATGACCTGGCCACACATCAATAAAGAAGTTAGCTTAGTCTCATGTGATAACTCATGAGATATTGCGAAATTAGCTCCAACTACATGAATAACACACCTGGGAAACCAAGCGGTTGAGGTTGGTGTAGGTTGGTCGCTCAATGTCAAGTGAACGCCTGCAAATATCATATATGGCTTCATTGTCAAGCAGCACAGCAACATCAGTGTGCTCCAAAAGGGAGTGGGTGGAAAGAACACTGTTATAGGGCTCTACAACAGAGGTTGAAACTTGTGGAGAAGGATAGACAGTGAAACCGAGCTTGACTTCTTGCCATAGTCCACCGAGAGACGCTCCAACAGAAGGGAACCGAGACCAGAACCAGTGCCTCCACCCACAGCGTTGAAAACCAGGAAACCTTGGAGTCCAGTGCAGTTGTCTGCAAGCTTTCTGATACGATCTAAGCAAAGATCAACAATCTCTTTTCCAACTGAAAAAAAAAGGAAGCAATGTAAGAATCTGATATTCTACAGATAGACAACTAAAGAGAAAAACTCTTAAAATGAAAGAATTGGTACTGGTATAGTGTCCACGGGCAAAGTTGTTAGCTGCGTCCTCCTTGCCACTAATTAGTTGCTCAGGGTGGAATAGTTGGCGATATGTCCCCGTCCTAACTTCATCAATAACGGTAGGCTCAAGATCTACAAAAACTGCACGAGGTACATGCCAGCTCCAGTTTCACTGAAGAAGGTGTTGAATGCGTCATCGCCTCCACCTATGGTCTT